GTTCAGCAGCCGTCTCTGCTAAACGGGCTTTCTTTACTTATTTTAAATGACATTGGGCCAAATATCAAAGAAAACTCGCGCTGTACAGTTTGTTTGTACAGAGGCACACGCAGCGTGAATGACTCTACAACTGGCGAATGGTTGGAAATTCCCGTATATTGATTAATAATTCTTTAGCAGACATAATTTACTTGGTAAATTTCGTCAGATACACTAGTAATACAGCGAAATACTCATAGCCCTGTATTTCGCTCAGATTTACCCAGACAAATACTCTGAATACATTACCTAAAACACCCTGTAGTATTTGGATATTCCAGGTGAGGAACTCGGGGTGCAATCTCTCATGTCAAATAAATGCAGGAAGCAGTGAAAGCATAAACTGATTATAGAGCACGCAGTCACCTAGTAAGGTCGCCATAGCAGAATAGCTGTTAATTTTTTTAAAAGGCCTTCAAGATACAGCTGCTGGATTCATAATTCCTGCTACCTGGCCTAATTCCTGCCACCATAGAACTATCGTTGCTGCTTTTGAGCGTTGCTTATCACACAATATCCTCCCGCAATGTTGCACTCCTCTTAACCTGTTGTATACAATTTATACCCAGATGATATAACGCATTTATGCTTCGTGAGGAGGTGTCATAGAAAAATTGTGGTTTGTTGGATGAATAAGTGAGGTTTGACGCCTCAAAGCACCTCGAGCTGTGAGATGCGCACAATGAGGGACTCCAAATAATGCCCCCTTCCCCTGGGGCACTTTAACGTGCACTGAAGCTTGCATGGCAATCTAACATTCTTCCGCTATCAAAAGGTGGCCGCGGCGGCTTTCATCACCCACGCATATGCCGGTTCCGCAGCTGAACACTATAATCACCATGCTACCACTATGGCCATAGCAAAATCAAAGTATTTTCATACTATACGTGTCTGTTTCGGGCTTTTTGTTAGCCGTTTGAACGTTCGTAGAAAGGCATTGTTCCACTTTGAGAAAAAGTATAGGTTATGGATGTTTTACTCTTTTGTGTGATTTTGTCTTCCCACGTATAGGGCTTACATTAAAGGACGTGTTACTTTTTTTAAGGAATCATAATAGTCTCGTCCGACATTCATTGAGCCCACTAGAGACGTAACATGCGCGTCTGAAGAAAGTCGTACTCGTGGCAATCTTGGACTCCTCAAAAGGCTGCATGAAATGATTGAAGGTATCCGTTTCTTTCCATCGTCTGTTTTGAATTGCATTTTGAAAATGGCTCTTAACATTTCTTCAGCATTTTGTGCACATACACTATACACACGTAAACATCGTAAAATAACATTTAGTGTCTCGTTTCTTACCAAGACGCATGTCGTCCGTTTGTTATTCATTACGTTTCGAGTGTTTTTTCAGCAATGTGTCTTGAAGGTTTATATAAACGTAACATCAGCCTTGTCATTTTATTTGAGCGTGTTGATAAACAAAACTTGGAGCCATATTGAGCGCTAAGAAACAGGGAAATCAGAGAGAGCGCACTGTGTTTTTCTCTTTCTGATGTCCCTGTCTCTTTGCGCTCTTATATGTCATCAAATGTAATAACACTTACATGGGTGATTCTATATGCGTTGTTTTTGCAAATTTTCTGTGAGTAATTGCACCGAAAGTGTGAAGCTATAATAAAATTACAAAAGTAACTAAGCCTGATGGGATACTATTTCAAGAAGTTGCACAGCCTGTTCTAGAATAGAATGTTATGTGCTATTCAATCACAATGCACTTTGCTATTGTAGTTAGCATGCAATTACGGTTTGCCTGAGATGTTTTAAAACGCAAAGTTCAATAAGCTTGATGCCAAAGATTACAACTACTCACTACTTTACGAATTGAGTTGCAGCACGTTCAAAGTGTGAATATCTTGTTCGCCTAGATGATGCATATTGGCAGGGCTTTAATTAAAAGCATTGAGGTTTAGGGACAGTGAGGGCAAAATAGACTTTAAGCGGGTAGAATTAACTAGAAGTAGGTTATCTGATTGGTGGCTAAAGTCAAAACACGAGTGAAAAACCCTTCACTACGAAATACGTATCCTCAATCCACTGCAAAGTACGAATCCACTGCGAAGTATGAATTTAAGGAAAAAATAAATGTAGTTTTTGGTTCCATAGTATTATGGCTTGGTGGTGCTAGCCACCACCTGATCTAAAGGGTACAGCCATATCCTTCTATCCATCCGTCCGTCCGTCTATCGGTCCATCCTGCCGTCCGTCCGTCCGTCCGTTCATCCATCCATCCATCCATCCATCCATCCATCCATCGGTCCGTCCGTCCGTCCACCCATCAATCCATCCATCCATCCATCCATCCATCCATCCATCCATCCATCCATCCATCCATCCATCCATCCATCCATCCATCCATCCATCCGCGATGCGCTCGTTATCCTCCGCTGCACGCTTGAGGCACTCAAACGCAGTGCTTCCAGGATACTATTCACCGATTTTCATGCGCAGAACATCAAATAAACGTTTTGCTCACTTTCTCCAGAGGCAAAGCTATCGTCTTTCGACGACATTCGCAGTGTAACATGCACATCCTGGGCATTTTTTACAGGAGAGAAGATTTTCATTATTTCTCACTAGTCAGGTCAGTATACTGAAGTTTCACACACACACACCACACACACACACACACACACACACACACATATATAATATATATATATATATATATATATATATATATATATATATATACAAACATATATATATATATATATATATATATATATATATTTGCACATGATTATTACTGATCAGTGTATTGTGAGGTCTGGTAACATTTTCAGTATTACGTTGCCAGCAATGTTTTTTTTTGTTCTTTGGCAAGGACGATTTTTTTATTGTTGGGGAATATTTGGCTCTCTGGTAATATGCAAGTTCATGTTTAGTATCATTGTGATAGTTAAGACGCAAAAACTCGTTTATAAAATCCCGAACATCATTTTTCCTTTTCCTCGTAGCGCGAAGTGTTCAGCAGCCGTCTCTGCTAAACGGGCTTTTCTTTTACTTATTTTAAATGACATTGGGCCAAATATCAAAGAAAACTCGCGCTGTACAGTTTGTTTTGTACAGAGGCACACGCAGCGTGAATGACTCTACAACTGGCGAATGGTTGGAAATTCCCGTATATTGATTAATAATTCTTTAGCAGACATAATTTACTTGGTAAATTTCGTCAGATACACTAGTAATACAGCGAAATACTCATAGCCCTGTATTTCGCTCAGATTTACCCAGACAAATACTCTGAATACATTACCTAAAACACCCTGTAGTATTTGGATATTCCAGGTGAGGAACTCGGGGTGCAATCTCTCATGTCAAATAAATGCAGGAAGCAGTGAAAGCATAAACTGATTATAGAGCACGCAGTCACCTAGTAAGGTCGCCATAGCAGAATAGCTGTTAATTTTCTAAAAGGCCTTCAAGATATAGCTGCTGGATTCATAATTCCTGCTACCTGGCCTAATTCCTGCCACCATAGAACTATCGTTGCTGCTTTTGAGCGTTGCTTATCACACAATATCCTCCCGCAATGTTGCACTCCTCTTAACCTGTTGTATACAATTTATACCCAGATGATATAACGCATTTATGCTTCGTGAGGAGGTGTCATAGAAAAATTGTGGTTTGTTGGATGAATAAGTGAGGTTTGACGCCTCAAAGCACCTCGAGCTGTGAGATGCGCACAATGAGGGACTCCAAATAATGCCCCCTTCCCCTGGGGCACTTTAACGTGCACTGAAGCTTGCATGGCAATCTAACATTCTTCCGCTATCAAAAGGTGGCCGCGGCGGCTTTCATCACCCACGCATATGCCGGTTCCGCAGCTGAACACTATAATCACCATGCTACCACTATGGCCATAGCAAAATCAAAGTATTTTCATACTATACGTGTCTGTTTCGGGCTTTTTGTTAGCCGTTTGAACGTTCGTAGAAAGACATTGTTCCACTTTGAGAAAAGTATAGGTTATGGATGTTTTACTCTTTTGTGTGATTTTGTCTTCCCACGTATAGGGCTTACATTAAAGGACGTGTTACTTTTTATAAGGAATCATAATAGTCTCGTCCGACATTCATTGAGCCCACTAGAGACGTGACATGCGCGTCTGAAGAAAGTCGTACTCGTGGCAATCTTGGACTCCTCAAAAGGCTGCGTGAAATGATTGAAGGTATCTGTTTCTTTCCATCGTCTGTTTTGAATTGCATTTTGAAAATGGCTCTTAACATTTCTTCAGCATTTTGTGCACATACACTATACACACGTAAACATCGTAAAATAACATTTAGTGTCTCGTTTCTTACCAAGACGCATGTCGTCCGTTTGTTATTCATTACGTTTCGAGTGTTTTTTCAGCAATGTGTCTTGAAGGTTTATATAAACGTAACATCAGCCTTGTCATTTTATTTGAGCGTGTTGATAAACAAAACTTGGAGCCATATTGAGCGCTAAGAAACAGGGAAATCAGAGAGAGCGCACTGTGTTTTTCTCTTTCTGATGTCCCTGTCTCTTTGCGCTCTTATATGTCATCAAATGTAATAACACTTACATGGGTGATTCTATATGCGTTGTTTTTGCAAATTTTCTGTGAGTAATTGCACCGAAAGTGTGAAGCTATAATAAAATTACAAAAGTAACTAAGCCTGATGGGATACTATTTCAAGAAGTTGCACAGCCTGTTCTAGAATAGAATGTTATGTGCTATTCAATCACAATGCACTTTGCTATTGTAGTTAGCATGCAATTACGGTTTGCCTGAGATGTTTTAAAACGCAAAGTTCAATAAGCTTGATGCCAAAGATTACAACTACTCACTACTTTACGAATTGAGTTGCAGCACGTTCAAAGTGTGAATATCTTGTTCGCCTAGATGATGCATATTGGCAGGGCTTTAATTAAAAGCATAGAGTTCTTTTTATAAATTCAGTTAGTTTGTTTTAACACGTAACAATAATACTGACCAGCGGTAGTCCGGAAATACTGCAAATTGAGAAGAGTAGCGCAGACTTGCAGCCATGCCAGCTTCATGGTCAAGCCTTGCCTTTCAAAGTGATTTGACAAGATCAGCCGATTGCTGTGAGTCAGAAGTGTGCACTTCAGAATGTTCTTTGAACAGCCTTATTGCCGTGCTTGACTGTCAAAAATAGTAGACCACCTGCAAGAGACAATCCAGTCGTTTGAAAATCACGGAATCTAGAACAGCCCTTCTTCATTACCGATAATTGTGGTGGGTTTCACGTCCCAAACCACGAAAAGATTACGAGACACCGTAGTTGTGGGCTATGGAATATAAATCCAACTCGATTAATTTAACAGGCACCCAAATCCAAGGATAAGAACCTGCAGCTTTTTAGCCTTCGTTGATAATGTGGTCGCCATGGCCGAGCATCCATACAGCATCCTGCGAGTCGGACATCAGTCACCCTAACCCCCGACCACTATGGTGGGTAACTACACTTTTTCTCTGGATTATCAAAAATGGATTCCTAATGCGATTTATCACATAACTGGGGTAAATGAGGAATGCCACAGCCTAGGCAAATATTTTGCGACGAGACAATACTGCTTACCTACGATACCGGAAGTCCGAATAAGCTATACCGCTCACTTAGGTACATTGAGGGTGGCGCATTGCTGCAAATGACTATTACCAACTTTTTTGCGCAAGCCTAACATGAGCAAGAGAAGCTAGGAAAGGCCGCAGGGAGTTTAATTATATGCGCTTACCGTATTGTTTTAAAACGTAAGAAAAAGAAACAAGAAATAGGGTTTGCGTCTCACCTTTCCCGATCACTTCTGCCACAACTAAAATCAGCATGTCAAAAGTAGGTAAGGTTATATACCCACTATAAGCTAAGATAAAGGTAAACACAGAGCATGAATTGGCATGCAGTCACGATGCTGTAACGAATGCTCTGGCCAAATAGCAATGTTGAAATACCGTAACTCGTAATATGCTTGAAGTTGGTTTGGTATCGCAATGATTAATTTCTGCGAAGTGAATGAAGAATTATGCTAATGGTTTCCAGGTAACAATTTAGCTTTCTACCGCTTACAATTACATAAAATTAGCAAAGGAAATGACACTGGGTCAGATCAGTTTTGTCATTTTGCCTTTACGTGAAGTACCGTCTACCTTGTCTGAAGCCCTGTGAGTGCATAGGATCAGCGTGAAAGAATACCTACTCAAGACTACATTGAGAATCCTGAACACACATGAAGCTATAGTACACATTGTCATAATAGAAAGCATGTAGAATATTGAGCCGTCGAGGTGATTTATGACCAATAAGGATGCCATATTACTGCGACTTATTTAGCTGCACCTATATCATGGTGAAGTCTTAACTTTTTATGCAGAAAGCACTAATAAGGCAGAAAATTTAAAGCTCCACAACGAGCGTACGTACAGTGCCATCCGCGTTTGTGAAGAGCGCGCGAGAAGCCGGCTGTGTTCAGCGGGGAAACAGCGTGTGGCTCCAGCTGGGTGTGACGTGATGGGCTCAGGACAAGATGTAGTCGCGTTTTTTAGCTCGCAATACTACCAGTAAGCCTCGTAACCCAAAAAGCTTCCGACCACTTTGTTTATGCCTCCTAAACAAATATAGGTAAATCATGATTTTAAGCTTCTGAGAGTATTAGCATGTCTATTTTCACGTTTTAGGGCAAAAGCGGGGAACGTAGCCTCAAAAATTTTTTAAGTTTGTGTAAAACGAAGAGTATATAATGGAAGTGCAAGCTTAAGCGCTCATTTTTTGTTAGACACAATAATATAACAACTCGGAGACAATGACACCTGGAATGTAATGGGGATGTTAGTAGTAGTAGCAGTGGTTGTAGTAGTAGCTGTACTACTGGCAGTAGAAGTAATAGTAGCCGTCTCAGTAGATGGAAGAGGATGAGGAGGGGTAAAAAAGTGCAGAGACAGGTAATTTGGCAATGACAGGTGGTATTACCAGGTGGTCTTTGGTCAGCGGCAACCTCGTACTTATATCACGTAATATGCGACTTCAACACGCAGAGAAACAGTCTCTATCATTGACGGATGAAGCAGTACTAGGTCCTCTGCCTGACGCCCGCACCAGAATTCGGTTATAGGAGCCATCGTAGCATTGTTAGAAGCAATTGGACTGAATTAATGTCTTTAGAGTGAGCCAACGTAACAAGACCACATTCTCATCTACCTATCTTACCATCGTTATTCATCGATTTTTCGCTCTCCCTTTGCCTTTCTCCAGTGTAGAGTAGTCAGAGCAAACTGTAGCTTTTGCCGACCTCTCTAACGATCCTAACCATAAATTCCCTCTCTCTTTCTTGTGTCCAACACTCGCCGTCATGGCTACTAGTAGCACTGACTGACACTCAAACGTTTCAATGCACCTCCACACCCCACAAGAAGAACAAGGGGGATGCCTGCCACTGTAGGTCAATTGGTAGAGCATCTGACGTGTTATTTGAAAGTCACAGGCTTGCTCACTGCCAGCCATAAAATATAGTTTGGTCGTGTTTTATTCCTTCAGAATTATGTTAAATTTACTATACTCAAAACATCCCCTTTACTTGTCATGGCTTTTTTATCTGTTGGCTCTGAGTAATGTACCAGAATAGCTTTTTTTTTCGGAAGGGGCTGGGGCGCTATTTGACTAGCGATACATATAAAAGTTTATATGGATATAGTGATATTTCTTATATTTTCGTTTATCTATGATGAAAATTGATATATTGATATATCTATAGTTCTGTATTGGGTGTACAGGTGCTCGGTGGTTGCAAGGAGTCGTGGGTAATGCCTTATGTGCCTACCTTATGAAAATAGGACTCCTTAATGCGCAAACGCCTTCAAAATACAGGTATATGTTTGCGGAAATTGTGTAAATGTAAATAAGCTTTGTGATATGTCTTGCACTTTGCCTTTGTGTTGTGGGTGTCTCATTGGTGTTGCAGAATTTTGTGTGTTGTTCATTGAAATATTCAGGGTTATGTTCGCATACACAATTTCTTTGCTCTCATCTTTCATCAACAATTCCATTTCTCTACATAATTTATTTTGGGCTAGTTCTTCAGTCTTCTTTTCTGAAAGTTTGATGCTAATATTTTGGTTGGCTATAACAAAAATCTAATTTCCGCATCGTTCCTTTAGAACGATGCAAAGACGCACTTTCTTAAACGCTGTTCCAATGATGTGTTAGTTTAGGTGGTAGGGTACATAGCGTCCATCAAACCCTAATTTTGAGGCCTTTTAGTATTTTATTTAATGCATCTAGTTTTTTTTTTCAAACGCATTATCCAGTATAATTTGCAGCAGGTTTGTGGGATCGAAAACAAACAACTACAAGAGTTACGATTCTTACCCTGGGTGTTTGTCATATGTGTTGAGGTCGAGCACAGCTCTGGAGCACAAAATATTCAGCTGATGTTTTAGGGGCGAAACAGGGAAGTTTATTGCAAACTGGTAACAACATTTCAGGTGAGTACAAATGTCTGGTGTAACAAAATCACTTCAGTGGGGTGTACAAACAAAAGAACATGAACAGGATGTAACACACAGCACTTCAATATTCTCACAGATCACTAATCACTCAAGAAAACAAACAGAAAACAAACGCAAAAAGCAGTAAATTGGAACAGATTCACGTATTACGTGCAACGAGAAGCAATTTTTTTCCCGAGTTAAAACGGCAGTAAAAGAAGTTCAATATTCACATTCCCGAACTCCAAAAAACCGTGTATGCCACCTTCTTATAAGGGCTTTTTCCCCCTGAGTTTAAATCTGTTTGGTAAGGTAACGAAACATGATCATTCTAATCTTCTGTAACTCTGGGTATGCAGCTCGTTGGGGTCGTCGTCGTGCTTCGGCCATAAAGTGGCGACGCCACAAGACGAGAATTGTGACATACAGTACGAGTTGTTAACATAAGCTGCGCTGTTGGCTCGAAGGAATTGATACTCCGAACTGACAACGCACGACGTGCCACACGCCTTAGGCCACTATGCATTCAAACATTGTGTGGCGGATCGTTTCTCTTTTCCCGCTAATGGGGCAGTGGTCACTGGGAACGAAGCCTCACTTTGACAGTCACTGACGAGTGGGCAACGCGTCCCATCGCCGCAGTCAATCAAATTCTCTAACTATTTTTGGTACGTCGTTGTTCCGCCATTTCTTCCATTTGCAGGGCCTCCATCTCTGTTTTTCTTTGTCAGTAATCGAGCGACTTATTAACATTTCGCTAATGCGTGCTGGTGCGAGCTTTGCAAAGTATTCTTCAGCGGCGTCGTCGTCAACCGAACGCTTGAGGCCCCCGGCTGCCTTATAAAAGGCATGTGGGTGTTTTGCGTGAGGTTCTCGGTACCGTTCCGACGTGAATGCGGCTCCAAGAGTTCCGAACCAATATAGCAATAAGCTACGGCCAGGGTAGTCATTGTCCTGAGACAATTTGTGAGCTGTTTGAGCTGCAAATGCCTTTGTGACTGTCGCAACATCTGGCAGACTGAGTCCTCCACAATGTTTTGGGAGCTTCAGGAACTTTTGTTGAACTTTCGGTGTTTTCCCGTTCCTTAAGAAGGCTCCAACAAATGACGCAAGGCAGCTCGCAAAAAGTTTGGTTATGACTACAATGTGCCCGATTTTATAAAAAGCATATGAGCATGCTTTGGATTTCACCACCGTCACTTTGGCGTCAAGTGAGAAATTGAAGTTAGTGGCATACGCGAAGACCTTCGTGGCTCTATGTATCGCGTCCTCCAAATTTCTTTTCGCCACCTCCCCGTCTTGAAAGTATACCCCGAGGACATTCACGGCATCCACGTATTGAATACCACCCGCAAAAAAGCCGTCGAAGCTACCGAAACGAAGGGCTTTGCTTTTCCCCGCATTCAGGAAAGCGCCCGATAAACTGGCATACTCTTCTAACAGCTCCAAGAAAGCGCGGTAACTGGCTTTGTTTTGCATGAACACTGAGATGGCATCTGCATAAGCAGTGATGCTAACCGGCTCCAGACCTGTTGTTGGAAAGCCCTGATTATTAGGGCACTTTGCAACTTTCCTAAGGAGAAGATCTGTGGAAAGAACAACGAGCACCGGTGCAATTGTGCATCCCTGGTGAACACCTCTTGTTACTGGAAAGCTTGCTGTCTCCACGCCGTTGATGAGAAGTC